ATTTTGCATCCTATATTTTTTCCTGCAATCCCTACAAATCTTTTTTGTTATTTTAAACTATTTTTTTGAGCTTTTGTATATTTCATACAACAGATCTTAATCAAATTTAGACCCCCTCCTCCACCTATGCCCCCATCCCACCCACCCCAACAGACCTCATGTATTCCACCAAACGTTAAGTTCCATCCTGTTAAGCAATTGTACCCAGATGTCTATTGATGATGCAACTTTATCCACTGAGTCTAGTCTGCCTATCTAGACAACTTAAGGAAGGTATATTCTCCCTCACCCAGCAGTTATTAGTCTCTAATAGTTCCCAGGCTAGGGTGGGTCCCCAAACCATTTCCCTTGCTCCACCTCGGGGCCTTGTCTGATTGAGTTAGTATGGGTCTTGTGTTCCACGCCACCACTGCGTAAGTTCACATAAGCAAACTTCCAGTGGCCTGAAAGCTTCTCTTTCCCTATGCTCATGGACTAACCCTGGCTCTTACACACTTTCTGCCCCCTTTTCTGCAATGGTCCCTGCGATGAGGGTGGGGGTGAGGTTTAATACAGGAGTATTAAATCCAAGGATATACACTCAGTAGTCTACTATTATTTAAAACTTAGCTAGTTGTGGCCTTCTGTGTGCATCATACTCTATTGTATAATGAAACTTTGCTGGTGAGAGCTGAGGGATGCACAGGTAGTCTGTCCACCCCCTGTTTTGCTATGCTCTGTGAGCCTTACTTGTACACAGTCCACTGTAGATATGTCACTTAGGGCTGAGCATCTCTCTTAGACATATATACTCTGTGTGTGACCAATTGTGAAGCTCTGTAAAAACCTCCAAAAGAAGCTTCTTTGATGATCGGTGAATGATATACTTATCTGTAAATATAAGGATCCATATTTAGCATACGGTAAGGAATTTTGTGTCTGGAGTATGACAGAATAGAGTTTTCTCTAGGATCTGTGATATGTTTATAGGGCTTTGTTTACAGTGCCATCCATGAGAGGGCTTTAAATCCAATTAGATAGCTGTTGATTACCTGCAGATAGAGTATCAGTACTGCACCAATAGAGATAGTTTTCCGTGCCAGTCATTGTGGTTATTAGACCTTACAGTTGGGTTGGATCATTGATTGATTTTTCTTCATTAGTAGCTTGCATAGTATCTTCTAGAAATATGAGAGTAAGTCTTCAGGTAGGAGGCTTCCAGATTAGTTCCAGCTCCATTGCTCTAACTCCTGTGTCTGAAGTATGTTCTGTCTTCAGCAATAGGATCTTATCTTCAAGTTCTGAGAGGTAATCAAGGGCTGTAGACCTTGGGTGTCTCTTGGACTACCTGACCAATAACTTGCATGAATGTTTTTCCTGTCTGGCACTGTTTCTTGTTACATAGCCTTCAGGTGTACACACACACACACACTCATATTCATATGTTGTATGTATAATTTTCAAGGAGTTTTTGAGTTAATACAGTTCCTTCTGGCTTTTCACACCACCTAAGCTTTATTTATCACTCTTCTCTCTTTCCATGTCTGACCTCCTTCCTCCCTCCCCAGTTTAAGTACCTCTATATTCCCCTTTATAATACCTCACTCCTGTTATCCCCCTCTCTTGATTTTCTAGTTCCTCTTTACCTCCATGGTCCCTTGCATGTCTTGTCATACTCCTTTTCCAGTTGAATATCCCATTTCCCCATTTCTCCCTTGGTAACATCTGTTTCCTAGAAACTATGCTCCTTACTCAGGCACTTTCTTTCACTTTACCTTCATGGTTCCTTTCCATTTTCCTGGCTCCAGCTGTCACATCAGGATATATATGCACATATAAGGGATTGGTGTTAAACTCTGCAAATAAGGGAGAAAATGTGTTGCTTTATTTCTTAGTCTGTTTTCCTTCACCTAGTGTAAAATTTTCTGGTGTATCCATTTACCTTCAAATTCCATGATTTTGTCTTTTCTTACTGCTGAGTAGAATCCGTTGCATAAATGTATCACATTTTCATTGTCCACTCATCAGTTGAAGGACATTTAGGTGCTTTCCATTTTTTAGCTGTTGGGAAAATTTATGCTTCATTTATGTGTATGAGTGTTTTATTTGCATGTATGTAAGTGTAAACCAGGTTGTGTAATTTATGCAGAGTCCAGAAGAGCATGTTACATGCCCTGAAATAGGAGTTGTGAACAATTTTGAGCCACCATGTGCATGCTGGGTACTGAATGTGGGTCTTCTGCAAGAGCAGTTAGTGCTCTTTACCCACTGGGCCATCTCGCTACTCTCAGTGTGTGTAGATTTAAAAGAAAAAATTTAAAATATTTCCTCATCAACATAATATATCTATGGGTTTGTGATATATAGTCTTTATCATGTTAAATAAGATCCTTCTACACCAAACATTTTATTTATTTTATTTGAATGGATAGTTAATGATATTAATATATGCATTTTATATAACCAAATTATACCACAAGAATGCTATCAAAAAATTTTGCCCATTTACATCTAATTTGCAGCATTCATTAGAAATTGTTGAACCCAACATGTATGAACACAGTGAGTGTATCAAGAGCACCTGTAGAATTAGATGATATTAGTCCTTATTTTTGCATTTAACCATAAATTCCAAAAAAATTCATAGCATATACCTAAACATATTAAACTAATTACATTAACAGGCTTAAATATATTGTCAACACTGTTGTTAGGAAAGGTCTAACAGAAGACAAATATTCAATAACAGAATAAAAATTTGTTGTGGTTTGGAGTTATTTTATGTTGTTTTGTTATTAAAAATAAAAATATATAAATAATCAGCAAAATATGAGAATGATTTATCTGGCTGGCATTCAACAATCTGCAAGATTTAATCATAGGTATCAAATTCCTTCATATCTGTAGCTTTCTCCTACAGATTTTACTTCCTGTAATTTCATGACAGCCACAAATTTTAATTAAGCTGTATTGAATTCCCAAGGACTACAAAGACTGCAAATAGTTTACATGTGATGCCCACATAACAGACTTTCCATAATAAGTAGGCAGCACACACCTGACCCAGGTCTTAGGGACCATTGTTTCTGTGCAGGAGGCAGGTGCTTTCCTGAATCTTTGTTAACTCCAAGTATTTTATGCTTTATGCTTCATGTTCATGAAACAACTGGTTATCCTTTTATGTTGGCATTCAGATAATCAGAAAAATCCTGGGTTATATATTCCAACTAGTGATGGGTGTATAACATTTTTCCTTTTGGGTGTAGATATGAGGTAAGAACATAGGAACTGATAACCTGTAACATATTTGAATAAATTCCTTCAATCTCTATATATGTTCAGTTTGATGCATGAATATCTGATCATGTTTTTTATGCTAATATCTTATGCAGAGTACAAAATACAAGGAGATTTTCATTTCTCAATAGCAAACTATTGAAAGTTTTAAAGAATATTCTAGAATTCTCTAACATTTTCTTCAATATATTTGGCAAGGAGAAAATGTATATAGATTAATAGTTTAATGCTTTCTTCATCACTAAAAATAATGTAGAGCAGATTGTAGGATGCCACTGATAAACATTTTGCATAGTCTGAGAGGAGGAAATCAGAGAAGATCTCAAAACTATACTCAATATAATATTTTGGTACAATTCTGTGAATGAATTGAAATATAAAATCCAGAACAGCACAAATAATACAATAGTAAACGCAACATTCTTGTTACAGAATTAGCTAATGTTGACCATGCAACCGTAGCTTACTTCAGAGCACAGTAATCATCATGTTTCCTTTCATGCTTCATGTTTTTGTGGAGTAATTACAATCTTCAAGTGATTTTAGTCTGGAATGTTGGTTATACATTTTAAACATTTTGTGTTCATATAGATATGTGGATATTTATTTATGTATTGTGTAGTAAAATGTCCCTAGTATGGGGAAAGGTTAAATGACTTGTAAAGAAATTATCCATCAGAATAAACTCCAGTATTTATGATTAAGAAAATATGGAGCACTGTACCAGGACTAAGAAATTGTTAAGCATTTTATTTTTATAAACAGGAATTCACAATTAGAACAAGCAAAATTTTAAAATGAAAAATAATATGTGGTTTACAGATAAAATCAGATAGTGCATGGAAAGCTCAACAGAATAATGAATAACAACAACAGTGTTATGCGTTCCTCGGGGAAAGGAAATCAGTGGTCAAACATGCAAGAGAAATGCTGTCATAGATAATCATTGAGCATATATGAGTTTTCCATCTTTATTCTGAGTAGAAGTTGTAGCACGCTGTTTCCTCAAATTTGAAGTTACCGATCTATGATTTTACTTTAATTTTCCACTGTTTGTCACCCATTTTCCCTTACATTATGACCTCTTGGAGGCAGACTCTTCCTGCCCAAGGCACGCTAGGACTGTTTGAACACGATAGAACTGTTTGAAGCATTTTATATATCGAGCTTCATTTTTGAAGTTTCTGTTTTCTTATCACTGAAATATTAACCTAATGAATATGATTTATCTTGATTTGTTAGTAGTTTCATGAATGAAATGAAAACATGAAGGCTTCTTAGAGATTCGTTTTTTTGTTATTTGCAAAGTACTGGAGCAAAAATTGAACTCAGTTGTTTCTAATTTGAAATTTAAGCTGATATTAATTCTGCTGCTTTTAATTGAATATAATTCTGTTTGATTTTTCTTATTGTTTTCAGGCTTTGGAGACTTATTAGTGAAAAACCAAAACCTAACATTGCATTATTTCGATTTATTGGTAAAACTCCATAAAATTGAAGACGTGTCATGAACAAAATTTGGACAGTCAAATAATATAGCATAGAGAAAGGCACAAGGAAAAGCAGTTAAAACATAGAGACACAGGAAGAGAGAAAGAATACAGGAGGGGGGCGGAGGGAGAGGAAGAGCTTGATTTACTGCACAAGGTTGGCATATTGAAACTGGTGGTCCTTATATAATATTTATCTGTCACATTGCTGGTATGTTTCCCATCAGCATCCTAAAAACTATGGGATCGACTAATCAAACAGCTACAGGAGAATTCCTCCTTTTGGGCCTCTCAGATGATACAGAACTGCAGTCTGTCATATTTGCTCTGTTCCTGTTCATATACCTGGCCACAGTGCTTGGAAACCTCATCATCATTCTGGCCATTATTTCGGATTCCCATCTCCATACACCCATGTACTTCTTCATCTCCAATCTGTCCTTCGCTGACATTTGTATAAGCACAACCACCATCCCAAAGATGCTGGTGAACATCCGAACACAGGATCAGAGAATAACCCATACAGGTTGCTTCACTCAGGCTTGCTTTGCCATGGTGTTTGCTAGCTTAGAAAGTTGTCTCCTCTCAGCAATGGCCTATGACCGCTATGTAGCCATTTGCCATCCCCTGAGGTACACAGTCACCATGAACTTCCATTCGTGTAGCTTGCTCATTCTATTCTCCCTGTTCATTAGCAGTGTGAATGTACTGCTACTCAGTCTCACTGTGCTGCAGTTATCTTTCTGTAGAGACCTGGAGATCCCCCATTTCTTCTGTGAACTTACTCAGCTCGTGAATCTTGCCTGTTCGGACACCTTCATCAGTAACATGCTGATATATATTGCATCCATCATATTTGGTGGCATTCCTGTCTTTGGAATTATTTTTTCTTATGTTGAAATCATCTCTTCTGTTTTGAAAATATCATCAGTGCAAGGAAGATACAAAGCATTTTCCACATGTGTGTCTCACTTGTCAGTTGTTTCCTTGTTCTATGGGACGGGTTTAAGTGTATGCATTGGATCTGCAGTAAATGATTCTCCCAGGAAGACTGCAGTGGCTTCAGTGATGTATTCTGTGGTTACTCAGATGTTGAACCCCTTTATCTACAGCCTCAGGAACAGGGACATGGCAGGTGCTCTGAGGAAACTTATGGGTAAGATGGCCTCTTTTATATGAAGTGCCATCTTCTTTGGACATTGGGTTCATAGAGTTAACTCACATTAACAATACTTCATAGATGTCTGAATGGTAGATTATCCTTTCACTAATCCTTCTAAAAGGAGAAGATTTCAAAAAGCCAAGAATGTTTCAGTTATGTTTTTATATAAATTATACAAAGTTATTAGGTACAATTAGAAATTTCAGTAATACAATGACTAGTGGTTTGATCAGGGTAATTGTCCAACCAACCACTTTAAATAGTAAATATCTACTACTAGTTTTGAGACCAGTATGAATCTCTTTTTGAGACAGAGAATGAATTGTTGTGAACCATGTTTTCCTATTGAACTATAGAACACTAGAAATTAGTTCCCATATTAAAATAAACTTCTCTAATTGTTAACCATCACCTACCATATGTCAACACATTCTTTCTAAACTATGCTGTGAAATAAGGTTTTCTTTTCACATATGTGTGAGAATATGTGGGATTTGTCATATTGTGCATTATTTTTAAAATTTATTTTTATTGAATTTTTGCAATTACCTTGCAAAATATTTTTACCCTAAGGCCTATAGAGTTAGGTGTGGATTCATCCACTGGAGACTGGCTATCCTACCAAGAGTCACAACCTTGATAGTTACTAACTCTCCTTCTCCCAGCAGCCATCAGTTTCCAATACTTCCTCAGGTAAGTCTGAGTTTATTTTATACTTGCCTACATCTATGCTCTGTTTTTGGTCTGGTTTGAGTTTATATGGGTCTTGTGCATGCTGTCACCATTTCTGTGTGTTCATATGAGCAACTGACCAGCTGTTTGGAAAACTTGCACTTAACATGATGTCTTCTATTTTCAGTCATCTTGCTTGTAAAGAGTACATGACATTTTTATGTTGGCACATAATTCTCTTGTGTGTATGCATCCTGATTTTTATTCACACATGCCTTCACTGAGCAGTGTTTAGCTTTATTAAATATCTTTATTATTGTGAATATTGATGCAATTGCATAGGGATTCACACATATTTTAGAAATGCATATTTCAGTCCTCTAGTTATGTACACATGTGTACAGTTACTTTATTAAATATTAGTTGTACTGAAAGTTTTATTTAATATCTGCCAAGCTGAATTAACAATGGGATGTAGCACTGTTCATAACCACCAACACTTTATGAAACATCCATACAGTCTGCATTCTCACTGAGCTGACTTATTTCACTGTTTTGCAGGTGGCCTTCTAATTCAGGTGCTATAGTATGTCAGTGATATTTTCGTATTTTATTTGTTATAATGAGGGACATTTCTCATACATTCTTTATTTACATATCTTCTATTTTGTATTTTGAGAAAGAAACTCACTGTAGCCCCAGCTAGCCTGGAATATATAGACAAGGCTAGCTTGGATATCACAGAGATCCACCTGCTTCTGTATCTTAAGTTCTGGGGTTAAAGGTGGGCACCATCATGCCCAGTAATCACATGTTTTTCAGTAACACGTTTCATCTTGTTTGCTCATTATTTAATTGGATGGTTTGAAATATTTTGCTATTAACTTCCTTGTATATTCTGGGTGCCATTCAATGTTATGTTATAAATAATAATCAGAAGATGTAAGTGAACATATGGCAGACAATTTAGGAAAAATTAAATGTGCCAGTTTTCATATTTCTAAAGTGTATAACTGGCAGAGATAATGATTCAGCGGTTTGAGAAAATTAAGAGGTATGAAAAATTAATCTGTGCACATGCTTTAGGTTCTTATAAGGCAAATGCACCCCAACTGCAATATGCTCCACCTATAAATATATAGTTTTATATATATATATATATTTTTTTTTACCAGGACATCAGTATTTGGAAATTCACTGGGACAACAGGACTTTCTCCAGGTTTCTTGAGGCTGGTTCTCCTCAGAGTCGCCAACAGAATGCAGGTGATGTCATCATACATGAGCCTCCCTGGATCAAGGGAAAATTGAATTGCCTTGATTTCAAAGCTGGCATCTTTGCCATGAGTTAAACGTTGTGTCACAATACAAGTTTACATCTGAATCTTTTCACTTGCAAATATTTTAGAAATTGGTGGATGATGGTTGTTAATGAAAAGTGACTTTTCAGTGGAAATAAGTTACCCTAAATGACCTGGGTGCACATAAAATGAAATCACATATTTCTAAGATCAGGAGACAAGAGGAAGACACAGAAAATGCAACAGAGGCAATGTAACCGTGGAAACTAAAATTTCAATGATATAGTTAGTTCTGATTGCTACAAATCTACATTTTTGGTACACATACCTCATGTTCATGGGATATGCATTGTTTCATAGCCCAATACAGCCTCATACACTTTTGATCTCCCTACCTTTAAAATGCAATCTAATCTATGTATCTTTGCTGCTAATCTCATCAGAATTCCAATTATGTATATTTTTAAATATATTATAATTTTTTGAGACAGGATGTCCCTGTAGCCATAGCTCATCTGGAAATGGGTATGTAGACTAGGCTGGCCTAGATCTCAAAAAGATCCACCTGCATTTACCCCAATTGTTTTTCTTTTAAAAAGGTTTAGGTTTGGAGCTGGAGAGATGGCTTAGTGGTTAAGAACACTGGCTGTTCTTGCAGAAGACCCAGGTTTGAATCCCAATACCTACATGGAAGCTAACAACCGTCTGAAATTCCAGTTCCCAGGGATTCAATGCCCTCTTCTGTCCTCCATGGGCAGTGCACTTACATACACGCAGGCAATACATGCATACATATAAAATAAAAATAAAAAATATTTATGTTTATTTTAATGATACCTTGAATACATATATATTTTATGTTCTTGTGGTAATAGAAAAACAAGGTAACTTTTCTGATGCTGTTAAAATTGTAATACTAGTGTTTCTGCTATGTATAAAAGGCAATTGAATATAGGAATAGAATTGTTCAATATGTTGTTATATCTTTCCTTGCATTGATTGAGAAACTTTTCCTAAAGGTTCCACAAATAATCTTCTTGTTAGTTTTTCCTGATGTTCATTTCCTTACAAAATATTTTCATGTGTTTAGAGGATTGGCTCAGTAGGTAAGAGCACTGAACATTTTTGCAGAAGACCTAAGTTTTGTTCTCAGCACACACATTGGGTCACTCACAACCACCTGGAACTCTAGATTAATGGGATATGAAGCCCTCTTCTAGTCTCCAATGGCATCTGTACTCACATACATATAGCCCAACCTAACGCACACTTAATATAAATATTGACAATAATAACAATATTTTAATTTCCTACATAAATTTAGTAGTTTTAAAATTAATTAATTGATATTTATGTTAAGATATAGAGTTACTTTGTACCAAGATATCATGAAAATGTCTATTTTGCTTTATTCTGTCACTAGAAATATTGTAAAAGAAAATAGGAATAAACTTAGTGACTGAAATTAGAATTAGAGATTTGTATATGTAAAAATGTTCATACATAGATGTGTGTTAGAAATTAACTAATATTTTTACTTTCTCTTTTTTTGGTTTTATTACTTTTCATTACTTTATTCTTGAAAATTTTGGGGTTTTTCCCCTTTTATCTTGTGTTTTATTGTCATAAAGCTGAAACTAATATTAAAATATTAATATATTATCTGAAGGGGTAAACTTAGCAGATGAGCTTTCTTTTTGTAAAAAAATTTTATTGAATTTTTGTTATTTCATACACAATGTCTTAATCATCTTTATGCCCCCTTTCCCATTAATACCTTCCCAAAGTTCCCCCCACTAGATTTCATGCATTCTGTCATTTGTGTTAAAGCCTATCAAATCAAATTAGTGTCCTCAGTCGTTCCTCAGTGCAAGTATATCCACTGAGTTCTAGTCAACCTGTCTAGAGTCCCTCTGTTTAAGAAGATCAACTCTTCCTCACCCAGTTAAGATTGGGACATGCTGCCCATTTCCACAGTTCTGTGCTGAGTTTGTCTGCTTGTGTTTGCATGGGTCTGGTGCATGATGACACTATTGCTGTAGGTTCATATGAGCAAATGCCAGGAGCCTGTAAGACTCTATTTCTATATGATCATTCATATTGTCCCCTGGCTCTCACAATCTTTCTGCTCCCTTCTACGCAATGGTCCCTGATCCCTGGGTGGGTGAAGTTTAATATAGGAGTCCTGTTCAAGTACCCACACTCTGCAGACTCTTTTTCTCTATGCTTTGGTCATTTGTGTCCTTTTGTGTTCCTGACCCTCTGTTGCATGAGGGAGCTTTCTTGATGAGAGTTGAGAGATGCATTACTATCCTCTCTACCCTTTCAGTATATTCCATGAGTCTTAGGTGTAGAGATTGCATTGTAGATGTGTCACTTAGGGCTAGGAAATTAACAGGCAATATCAGTGTGGTACCAGTTGTAGTACTCTATAATAATCTTGTGTTGTAAAAGAAGCTTCTTTGATAAGTGGTGACTAGGATACTTGTCTGTAAATATAAAGATCCATATTAAGCACATAGTAAGAAATTACATTTGTCTAAGGATGTGACAGCCTTGGAATTTTATCTAAGAATGATGACCTCTCCAGCCATGATTATTTGGCCGTGTTTAGAGTACCACACATGAGTTTCCTCCTACTGAGTGCATTTTAATTTCAATTAGGTAGCTGTTGATTACCCACAAGATAAAAGTGCCACTACTGCCTGATACATTTTGCTATGTCAATCATTGCTGTGGTTATTAGGCCTTAGACCTGGGGTTGGACTGTTGATTGATGTTCTCCCTTAGTAGCTTGCATAGTTTTCTCCAAAACTATGAGAGTTAGCCTTCATAGAGGAGGCTTCCAGGTCAGTTCTGGCTCCATTGCTCCAAATCCTGTGTGCAAAATATGTCATGTCTTCACAGTATGGTCTTACCTTCAAGTTCTGGGATGCAACCACGGGCTGTGGTAATAGCTTGTGTACATTTTTTGAGTCTCTTGGACTACCTTGGTCAACAGCATGAAGGAAGATTTCTCCTGTCTGGCACTTTTTCTTGTTATGT